TATATATACATATATACATACATACATACATACACTACTGGTCAAAAGTTTGGGATCAGAACGATTTTTTATGTTTTTTACATTAGTTTCTTATGCTCATCCAGGCTGCATTTATTTGATCAAAAATACAGGGAAAAATGTAATATTGTGAAATATTGTAAAATAATAAAATAATGTTTTTCTATCTTAATATACATTAAAATCTGATTTATTCCTGTGATGCAAAGCTGAATTTTTTACTCCAGTTACTCCAGTCTTCAGTGGCATATGATCCTTCAGAAATCAATCAGAGGAGTTTCGTCAAAGCTGACTAAAAGTGATCGAGGATGGATAATTCCTACGAACTTAATGAACCTGTGATATCTTCTTCAGGGCGAAAAAGGAAAATAAAAGCTGAAACGTTTTCACGGAACCTTGCAAAAGCAGTACGTTACAATGGTGAGGGAAAAGCTCAGTGTATTGCGTGTAATCACATCCATACAGTTTATGATCACAACAATGTTTGTCAGGCATCTGCATTGCCATCTGAGGAGATTACAAAAAACCCCAACTGTTGGAGTTATCTGCTTTTGCTATAAAACAAACTTTTAATATGTAAAAAAAATACATACTTTCAATGAACTTCAATTTTGTATATTACCTGTATTTAAGTTATTATTACTTAATCAAAACAACCCAACTGCAGTTTGAGTTATCGGTTTTTGCAAATTAACTCTTCATTTATTATTGGTATCAATGCTATTTATGTTATTTTAAAGGATATTAAAATAGAAACCATTATTTTATATTGTAATAACATTTTGCAAGATTACTGTTTTTTTCTGTTTTTTTTATCAAATAAATGCAGCATTGATGAGCACAAGAGACTTCTATAAAAAACATTCAATCAAAAACGGCATTTCATTTTGTAAATGTCACGGGATGGCTATGATTAGTTTCTGTATTATTATATTCCAGGAGAGCTCAATAAAGCTCAAGAATCTTATGATGAATAATATATAGTTAATCATTTCCTCTCGTGCCTTGTTTTTGCATAGCAAATCTTGTTATCTTATTTTTTCCAACTCTCTGAGACAGATATTAAGTGGATTTCCTAAGGCCCTACCCTGACATGTTTGAAATTAAGTTTCCAGATAGTGATGCCTTCAAAATGCCACAGCCTAAAAAAGATTTCTAAAATGATTAAAGGAATAGTTCATCCAATAATGAAACGTCTGTCGTTATTTACTCTCCCTCATGATGTTTCAAACCCAAATGAACTTCTTTCCTCATATGGAGTTGGATCGACATGAGGATAAGTAGCAAATGACAGGATTTTCACTTTTTGGTGAACTATAACTTGTGATAATCCCTACACACGGTTGTCTTATTTCCAATAACATCAATTGTTTCTCATGTCTGTAAGCTGTCATCATTTGTAATCAGCATCTTCTGTTGGATTTATAGGAAATGGAGGAACAGTTCGAGAAGGAACGTAGCTCTCTAGAGGAACAGAAGAGCCTTTTACGAGAGGAACTGGACAGTCTTCGAGAGGAGCTCAGAGCCAAACTCAACATGGCCAACAGTGAGGTATGACATTTGTTGTCTCTGTAAAAGTGATTTAGCAGGTAGAAAGGAAGGCATGGAAGCAGAGGGAGGAGGTGATTAATTTCAGTGTCAGGTGTTCATCATCTCATTAGTCTCAATGTGTTTTAATGGGCTTCCGGAACACAATTCTAGCTGAGTCCCATGTTCCTTAGCCACAGCTGCAAATGGGCCAAGGAGACCCCTGAAGAGAAGCAGCATCACTGATTATTACCTTAATGTGCACATCACAATTGCTTAGCATAAATGGAAATGAAGCTCTTGCCGGAAAATCCATCTTAAGACGGTATCTGTGTTCTGAAATATGGTCGCTGTTGTTTCTAGCTGGTCAAAACTGGCCATTAGCCGACTGATCTTCAAACATCTTCCAAAAAACAGTCTGACCACTTTAAGCTGGTATGACCAGCTGGTACTGTTGCTGGTTTGTTGCTGGTCAAAGATGATGACCAGCTTGGACCATCTAGAAACCAACTATATACCTAGGCTACATGTTTAGCCATGCATGCTCCCCACTCGAAGGCTGTTCCAATTTCCTTCAGAGACACTTCAGATGCGCGCTGTTCGTTTGCAGCCTTTTGTGCAATTGTACGTTGTAATATTGTGTTTATTTGATGTATATCTGATTTATCTCATATAGAATGCGTTTGGTTAAGTTAAAAGAGCGCTTCAGTTTACCGGTGATCGTCTTTAGCTCAGCGCACGCAGCTCAAACAGCAGTGCACAACATTAATAACTATGATTGGGAATGTCGTGTATATAACATTCTAATGAGAACATTATTATAATAAAACGTTGTGAATTCTTTGGGTTTAGTTGCCGTGTTTCAGCGCGTTGTTATGGGAAGAGCGCATCCACAACAGGATCACACATTCTGACTATAGCATGCAATAACTGCGTCATTTTGTACATATATAAGTTGTATTATTATGTTTATGTTGTATTAATATTAATCTCAGGATGCATTTCCTTGAATTAAATAAGCTGCCAGCAAAACGCTTCAGTTTACCGTGTTCATTCAGCTCTTCAGCTTCAGCTTGAGCTGCAGCTCAATGGCTGCTATTTAAAACAGTGGTATTAATTTGTTACTTTTTCAAAATCATTGATACATTATTAATAACAACAACCACTTGTATTTTTCTCTTATTATTTTCATCAACAATATGGTTTAGTAATTAAAATCATTTAATTATTGTCCGTGCAGAGGCTATTCCGTTTTATTGATCTATGGCGCATTCATTTTGATTCTTTACACGTGTAATGATGTCCAGTGACTTGTTTGCATTATTTATGCATTATTTTATTTGTAAGACTTTTTTATGACTAAATTTGGTAATGGGAGAGTAAAATTATTTTTAAAACATACACCGTTCAAACTAGGCTGCTTATGTTGAAGTGTTCGGGATGTGGTTTTTAATGATGAGACCTTTTTTGTAATCAGGCTCTCAAAAAGTATATAAAAATTTGGATATAGATTTATCGGCCAACATATCGGTTATCGGCTTTCAAAAATAAAGGATTATCGGTTATCGGTATCGGCCAAAATTTTCATATCGGTGCATCCCTAATATATATACATACAATATATATACAAGAATATATATGTATATGCAAGAAGTTAATTCTTACAGTGTCCTTTAACTCAACACAGAGAAAAAGCATCTGCTCAGAAGTGAGTAACTTCTGCTGTTCCTCAGGTGAGTCGACTCCAGGAGCTGATGAAGCAGGGAGAGCAGGGACTCAGTTCTGCTGAGGGACACATCTCCAATCTGAAGGACGCCCAGAAGAAGCTTCTAGAAGAGCTGGATGCCACGCGAGCCAGACTCAGAGAGACCAGCAATCTCTTAACAGCCCTTCAGGTCTGTTACCAAAAGCAAATACTCCAAAAAAAGAATGAGAATGAGACATACTTCAAATTCACATAACTCAGCTGCTCCTGCCAGTTTTGCAGACATTTTTTTATTCGATGATTTTCAATGTTTTATATAAAGTCGATGTGTGTCATTTTTTTAAATATACAACTTTTGCCCTCAGTTTCCATGAATAGCTTCTAAAACACACCTGCAATGAGTTCATCATTATGAAACGAGTAATAGGTGCTCTGTTGAATTACACCCACCTGCGTTTTTGGCCCCTATAAAAGACAATTCATTAGAGAGGCCTCTTCACGGTTCCTCTTCCTGTGTCCTTGACCTGAAGCACAGGTTCTCTGAGTGACCGTGCATAATGAATCAGACCTGTATGAGTGTACCAGTGTGTGTGCGTGAGAGAACAAATGAGTGAGTGGAGAAATTAAAATTGATTTCCATCTCCTGGACCCAGTTTGATTGATAGCTGTGAAGAAGAGCCCTCTCTCTCTCGTCCTGAGTGCCACGTGTTAGACCTCACAATTACGGGTCATGTGCTTAATGGCTCATCAGAGCTAATGTTCACTCTCGTTCTTGTCCTCAGGGAGAGATGGAGACTCAGAAACAACGGCACGATGCCAAACTCATCACTACCAAAGAGGAAGAGAAGCTCAAAATGGATAAGATGGCCCTGGAGCTCGAGCTGAAGTGGACTGAGACACTCAGGTAAAGAGCACATGTTTTTGTGTTACACGAAGGAGAGTTCTTGGAAATGTGCTTTCAGAAATATTTACTCACCCCCATGGTATATTAAAGGGACATCATCAAAATATGGTAACAAACCTGTCCCTTGAATTCTCAGTCATGAAAAAAAAACTAGTCAAGAAACTTCATATTAAAGGCATTTTAGTTAACATAACAGTTTAATAAATATCCATCTATAATGGAGCCTATGAATGGATGACCAGATAAAATCACAGATTAAATTATGTTTTTGTTTCTTAATTAAAAACCCATTGTCTCCATCTGGAATACCATTTCTTTGGTTTTATTTTTTTGTTTGTTTGTTTATTCCTCATCTTATTTATTTCTCTTCTTGTATTTATTGATTCATTCTTTGATTTTTTTTTTTTGTATTTATTTATTTGCTTATTTTTAAATATTTTTTAAGTCCAACAATTGTGAAAAAAGTAAATACAATTAATTAATAATATAAATTATCTAATTCTTGTATTCTAAATAACTGTATAATTTATAAGGTGAAATGAAGAAATAATAATAATGTCACAGATTAAATACGTTTTATTATTATTATTATTAAAAATGGTCTTTACCTTTGTTTCCTTCATCATTCATCATCATTTATTTATTTAATTTCAATAATTATGTTTTAAGTATTAATGCAAGGCCCAACAATTGAGCAAAGAAGCTAATTAGTATATTCTAAATAATTTCGACTTTAGTTTTTAAGTTATAATTTAAAATTTTAAAAATCTATTTGTTTATTTTTTTATTAGTTTATTATTTATTATAATTATTATTATTGTTTTTGTTTTTGTTTTATGGGCTAAGTATTAGTGAAATTTCCAACAATTGTGCAAAAAGCAAATAAAACATGATTATTAATGTAGCTACTTACTAACAATAATAATATTCACATATAATATTATTATTATTAACCATTTCTTTATATATATTTTTTTTCATTTATTTGTCAGTGATGTTGTCAGTGTTAAAACATACAAGAAGTATTTCCAATGTCAAAGTTCAGAGTTAGAAGAGGGCTTTACTTAATTCAAAACCTTGACATTATGTAAGTCATGAAATCAACATTCTTGAAGAATATTCTGGCCATACTTTTCCATGACATGAGGGAAAGTAAACAATGACAGATTTTTATTTTTTTGTTGTTAATCTGTGGTGAACTGTCTATTTAAGTGGTTTGTTAACAAGCAAGGCACTTCTCGTTTTTTCACATTCTCTCCTTATTTGCCAAGCTATGTGATGACTCATGTACCATTTAAAGTTCCCAACAGCTGTAAGTGTTTTGGCGTTGGCTCAAAAAGGCTTGCCTGCCTAATTCATTAGCAATGCTTACAACCAGTGTTTAATATCATGGGCCTTCAAATAAGACAATGGGTCATTAGTATAAGCCTGAGTTGTATTGGACTAAAACAAAGGCCCTTAATGGGATAGTTCACCCAAAAATAAAAAATCTGTCATAATTTACTAACCCTTAATTTGTTCCAAACCTGTGTGAATTTCTCTCTTCTGCTGAACACAGAAGAAGTTATTTTGAAGAATGTGGGTAGCCAAACCCACGATGGAAATCAATGGCTAACAGCAACTGTTTGGATACCCTGATTCTTCAAAATATCTTCTTTTATCTTCCGCAGAAGAAAGAAACTCATGCAGGCTAAAGGATGACAGAATTTTATTTTTGATCTATCGCTTTAAGAACATTTTGGCTACTTTGTGTGCTCATAGTTTTGCAAAGTTACCAGTTCGCCACTAAAACATCCCCTGAAAACTCTAAAAAGGAGATAACTAGGAAGGTTGAAGATCAACAGGCCCTAAGCAGAAGCTCAACATGCTTTTAATGCCAAATCAACAAAACATTTATTGGCTTTCATCCTTGGTAGCTCATTTTCCACAACATTTGTTCTGGGTGGTGCCCTGGAGCATGCTATTTGGGTTTTAACTTGTTATTTAGGAGAATGTGGACCAATGTAGAGCTTGTTATTGCTCAAAATAAGTGCTGGTAGTGATGTTGGATCTAGGTGGAGAGACTCGTATTTCAAGAGATGCCTTGTTTTGAATATCTAGGAGTTTCCATGGCCTCACACAATTAGTAAAGTCCACAATTAGTAAAGGTTCTCAACTAATATCATTTATAGCGCTGAGGAATTATTTCATGAAAGTTTAAAGAGGTCTAGTCCATGGAAAACATGTTAAATGTTAGAAATTCCATGTGTGATTTTGTGATTTTTTTAGTACTTCAGCTTCAACATATTTTACTTTCGGTAGTTTCCAAGGCCAAGGCAGCATTTCTAATTTTTATTTACGTTTCATCTATTTTGTTTACGTTTTTCATCTATTTATATTCTATATATATTATTCCATCAATGCAAACTATTTTTAATTGTTTTAGTTTTAATTGTATTATCAATAGCAACATTGTAATTAGGGGAAAAACTGTCTTGTTAAGGGTTGAAAAATGGTGAGAACTAAAAATATTTAAGAAAAAAAATATGTTTTAGCCTGTTGGATAATATGAAGTTAGCCTGTAGACAAGGGTTTCCTCAAACTGATCCTTCAGGCATCATCAGAGGACAAATGTCTGTCAGACTTTGTGTTGCAAGTGTTACAAGAGGGTTTGTTCATCATTGTGCCGATCTGTCAGACACAGGCACTTGCATCTTATTAAGCTATCACTGACTTCTTTATCAACACTTGAATTTGCATTGTACAATTACACTCACAGCTGCAGCACACAATGAAGTTTATAAAAACTCCAGATGGATCCTCCCCTTCGAGGCAGCGCCGTCTGGATGTCGCTAGCATGCGTGTGCCGAGTGCAACAAATCAAAACTGTTTACGCCAGTTTTGTTTGCTGGACTGACAGCTTTGCACTGAGATCATTTATGAAGACAAATGGACTCCCTGTAAGAGTTTATAAAGGTGATAAAGCCTCAAACAGGAACTTCTGTTCAGCAGAAGTGCTGGTTAATTTAGCAGCTCCTCTTGTAATGCACACCATGAGTGGATGAGGCAGTTGCTAGTGTGTGTGTTTGTTTCTGACTTAGCTATAATGTTAGAGACAAAAAACTCCATTAACAGTTCCTAAGATGTCTGATAAAATGTCTCTTTTCAGTTACTCTGAATTGTTTGGAAGAAAGAGGAGTAATGGGTTTGGAGTATGACCAGGCTAGATTTGAAGATGCAGCTCATGAAGCATGTCTAACCACTTGACTATGACTCCAACCTTTTTGCATTGTAATTTAGCTTTTACATTTTTTGTCTGTTTATTTGACATAGAATCCATACCTGGGGTGGCATATTTTGCCCCCTAATTTTTTCAAGGTGTTTACCAGAATATTGTGAATATATTATGAATGTAGGCAAGTGGCATGGAATAATCTTGGAAGTTATTGTCTGGTGCGATCTAAAAGTATTTTATATTTGTACAAAATGAATGCTTTTTTGAACTCTCCAATATCATATTATATTACATTATATTACATATATTCCTGCACTGAAGTAGCGCAGGCAAAAATGTGACTTAAAATATTGAAAAATGTCAAAGAAATTATGCTTTTTCAAATGTATGCGTTTTCCCTTTCAAATTCATATAAATTTGTAATTTATATTTACATTGTTTATGCTGACTGCTATAATTCATCTATAACTATTTTATACTGAATTTCATTAAATATATCACAATTATTATATTATGTTATATTTCTCACACAGAAGGTCCATTTTAAAATTAGCTAGTGAAGGTAAAAATGTGATTAAAATTTGGTTAAATTTAAGAACAGTTCTTTTGAAATTGTATAAATTTGTAATTGTTAATGCTTACTGCATCCTCTCTCTCTACATCTATATATATATATATATATTAAATAGTAATATATTTATAGTATAGTATGTCTAGTATTATTAGTATAATATAATATTTATATAGTGAATAAATTAGTAATTAGTAAATAAATGCTGTTCTGCGGTGTATTATCAATTAGAGATTTTTGACACCATAAACGAACAGATAAATCAACATGTGTATTTTTTTTTTTAAATTAAAAATCCAATTACAGCCTTAGTGCTTATTGCTGTGGTCTCAGGCGGCTTTCAAAGTGCTTCCATTTCCTCTTAAGCAGCAATTAAGACGAATTTCACACCTTTAAAAGGTTTCGCAGTGTGTCCAAGTGTGTGAGGTACTCCGCACTGACAGCTATTTGGGCACTTTTAGAACAGTCTGCAGCACAGACTTTATAATCATGAATTTAAGCCCTGCGCCGCACTCTCATGACGTCCTGCAATTACACCTCATAATGTGTCAGTTAACCTCTTCTGTGACCTCCACTGCTGTGGAGCAGAGAAATGCAGGTGCATTAAAATATCTGCGGCTCATTTAGCAGCCATTAATGATCAACGGACCACTGACCCAGTATTCATGTATTTTAATATTTAAATGTGTGCAACTGCAGAAACCAATTGTGTCTTGTTTTTATCAGATTTGTGTCAAAAGGTGTCGGCAAAAAAACTGCACAAAACAGTATGATCACTAGTGTGTGTTTTTTGGGGGGGGTTTTGTCCACAGGCAAGAGTGTAAGAAACTGCGTGAGGAGCTGCGTGAAGAGCATGAGGAGAATAAAAGGTCAGCACTCACTCAGCTGGCACAGAATAAAGATCAGGAGATGTGCTCCGCCAGAGAGAGCTGGCAGAGGAAGGTGGAGGACCTTCTGGAGCAGGTCAGAAACACATTCATGCAACTACTGTACTAACACTGCATGTTGAGACCACTGCAGTCAGCCTATGAGGGTCCAGTGGGGCTGTTCAAGAAATGTATAAATCAACTGAGAAATTGATAAATGAATTGAGCAACTAGTTATTTAATGTGAATAAATAAATCTCTACAAAAAGGTCAAGATAAAGTCAAAAATAATTTTCAGTTTAGAACTAATGACAGAATTGAATTTGTATGTTTAAAGAGTGATTATGGAGTGCTTAATAATTGCATTTTCAGTTTTAGTACTTTTTTATTTCCTATAGCTTTTTTTATTCATTGAAACCAGAGGCAACACTCTACTGCCAATATGAATGAACATATTTATCAATATTTTGATTACATTTTGTTTTATTTTTTAATTATGTTTCATTTGTTAATTTATCGTCATGATTAAATTATGTCATTGTTCATTCATTTTATATGTGCATCCACATTTAGGCATTTCCTTGTTGATTTTTCTCAAATGGTTTATGATTATTGCAGATTGAGTATTGCATACTTCTACAAAGTACAGAAAATAAATACACTACCATTCAATAGTTTGAGTTTAGTAAGATTTTATTTTATCTGAAATTATTACTTTATTCAGCAAGGACACATTAAATTGATCAAAAGTGACAATGCTGTTATTTTAAACTTCAATTCATCAAAGAATCCTGAAAAGAATAATCATTGGGTTTCACAAAAATATAAGGCAGCACAACTGTTTTCAATATTGATAATAATAAGATATTATTTTCACCACATCGGACACCCAATAGCATATTAGAATGATTTGTGAAGGATTTTGTGACACTGGAGACTGGAGTAATGACTGCTGAAATTCAGCTTTGCATCACATAAATAAATGGCAAAATTAAATTTTTTAATATTTTAAAATAGAAAAGAGTTATTTCAAATTGTAATATTATTTCACAAAATTACTGTAAATATTACTGTTTTTAAACATGTATTTTCAATCAAATAAATGCAGCCTTAGTGAACACAAGAGACGTCAAAAACATTACAAAAATCTTACCAACCCCAAACTTTTGAACAGTTGTGTACTTCTAAGCAAGCCTCCATTTGGTTGAGTGTCCTGTCCTGGCCAACACAGCAACACTGGCTTAACCAATGATTTAAATCTGTGGCGGTGCTATGTGTTTATGTGACCAATGGCAGATGGAGGGAGGGTTCAGAAAACCTCACATTGTTTTTTGCATTTCTGTTTGTTGAAGCATGTGGCAGAGAAATTGCACAGTTAACCGTAGCAAAAGATTACATGTAACCTCACAGTAAGCCAGACAAACAAGTCAATATAGGGAATACATGCTTTAATAAACTGCAAACCCCAAAGACACTTTTCAAAAGGATAAAAGCATCAGTGAAATACAACAGTAGTTGAAAATCCATCGCTTATCCACACTTTAACATTACCAGATATTGCAGATGTATCCTTGGAATACCCCTCTGTGCATTTTTCATAAGCTTGAACACTCATATCTGCTGACTTAGTTACTATTGCATTTATAATATAACCACACACAGTTTTTTTGTAATCAAATCAGCCCCCAAAAACAATACAAAACCATATGCAGCTTTTGAAGAGAGATAACTATTTACAGCAGTGTATGATTTGATTTATTCTAAATTCTTACAGTGTCCTTTAACTCAACACTGAGAACAAGCATCTGCTCAAAAGTGAGTAACTTCTCCTGTTCCTCAGGTGAATCGACTCCAGGAGCTGATGAAGCAGGGAGAGCAGGGACTCAGTTCTGCTGAGGGACACATCTCCAATCTGAAGGACGCCCAGAAGAAGCTTCTAGAAGAGCTGGATGCCACGCGAGCCAGACTCAGAGAGACCAGCAATCTCTTAACAGCCCTTCAGGTCTGTTACCAAAAGCAAATACTCCAAAAAAAGAATGAGAATGAGACATACTTCAAATTCACATAACTCAGCTGCTCCTGCCAGTTTTGCAGACATTTTTTTATTCGATGATTTTCAATGTTTTATATAAAGTCGATGTGTGTCATTTTTTTAAATATACAACTTTTGCCCTCAGTTTCCATGAATAGCTTCTAAAACACACCTGCAATGAGTTCATCATTATGAAACGAGTAATAGGTGCTCTGTTGAATTACACCCACCTGCGTTTTTGGCCCCTATAAAAGACAATTCATTAGAGAGGCCTCTTCACGGTTCCTCTTCCTGTGTCCTTGACCTGAAGCACAGGTTCTCTGAGTGACCGTGCATAATGAATCAGACCTGTATGAGTGTACCAGTGTGTGTGCGTGAGAGAACAAATGAGTGAGTGGAGAAATTAAAATTGATTTCCATCTCCTGGACCCAGTTTGATTGATAGCTGTGAAGAAGAGCCCTCTCTCTCTCGTCCTGAGTGCCACGTGTTAGACCTCACAATTACGGGTCATGTGCTTAATGGCTCATCAGAGCTAATGTTCACTCTCGTTCTTGTCCTCAGGGAGAGATGGAGACTCAGAAACAACGGCACGATGCCAAACTCATCACTACCAAAGAGGAAGAGAAGCTCAAAATGGATAAGATGGCCCTGGAGCTCGAGCTGAAGTGGACTGAGACACTCAGGTAAAGAGCACATGTTTTTGTGTTACACGAAGGAGAGTTCTTGGAAATGTGCTTTCAGAAATATTTACTCACCCCCATGGTATATTAAAGGGACATCATCAAAATATGGTAACAAACCTGTCCCTTGAATTCTCAGTCATGAAAAAAAAACTAGTCAAGAAACTTCATATTAAAGGCATTTTAGTTAACATAACAGTTTAATAAATATCCATCTATAATGGAGCCTATGAATGGATGACCAGATAAAATCACAGATTAAATTATGTTTTTGTTTCTTAATTAAAAACCCATTGTCTCCATCTGGAATACCATTTCTTTGGTTTTATTTTTTTGTTTGTTTGTTTATTCCTCATCTTATTTATTTCTCTTCTTGTATTTATTGATTCATTCTTTGATTTTTTTTTTTTGTATTTATTTATTTGCTTATTTTTAAATATTTTTTAAGTCCAACAATTGTGAAAAAAGTAAATACAATTAATTAATAATATAAATTATCTAATTCTTGTATTCTAAATAACTGTATAATTTATAAGGTGAAATGAAGAAATAATAATAATGTCACAGATTAAATACGTTTTATTATTATTATTATTAAAAATGGTCTTTACCTTTGTTTCCTTCATCATTCATCATCATTTATTTATTTAATTTCAATAATTATGTTTTAAGTATTAATGCAAGGCCCAACAATTGAGCAAAGAAGCTAATTATTATATTCTAAATAATTTCGACTTTAGTTTTTAAGTTATAATTTAACATTTTAAAAATCTATTTTTTTATTTTTTTATTAGTTTATTATTTATTATAATTATTATTATTGTTTTTGTTTTATGGGCTAAGTATTAGTGAAATTTCCAACAATTGTGCAAAAAGCAAATAAAACATTATTATTAATGTAGCTACTTACTAACAATAATAATATTCACATATAATATTATTATTATTAACCATTTCTTTATATATATTTTTTTTCATTTATTTGTCAGTGATGTTGTCAGTGTTAAAACATACAAGAAGTATTTCCAATGTCAAAGTTCAGAGTTAGAAGAGGGCTTTACTTAATTCAAAACCTTGACATTATGTAAGTCATGAAATCAACATTCTTGAAGAATATTCTGGCCATACTTTTCCATGACATGAGGGAAAGTAAACAATGACAGATTTTTATTTTTTTGTTGTTAATCTGTGGTGAACTGTCTATTTAAGTGGTTTGTTAACAAGCAAGGCACTTCTCGTTTTTTCACATTCTCTCCTTATTTGCCAAGCTATGTGATGACTCATGTACCATTTAAAGTTCCCAACAGCTGTAAGTGTTTTGGCGTTGGCTCAAAAAGGCTTGCCTGCCTAATTCATTAGCAATGCTTACAACCAGTGTTTAATATCATGGGCCTTCAAATAAGACAATGGGTCATTAGTATAAGCCTGAGTTGTATTGGACTAAAACAAAGGCCCTTAATGGGATAGTTCACCCAAAAATGACAAATCTGTCATAATTTACTAACCCTTAATTTGTTCCAAACCGGTGTGAATTTCTCTCTTCTGCTGAACACAGAAGAAGTTATTTTGAAGAATGTGGGTAGCCAAACCCACGATGGAAATCAATGGCTAACAGCAACTGTTTGGATACCCTGATTCTTCAAAATATCTTCTTTTATCTTCCGCAGAAGAAAGAAACTCATGCAGGCTAAAGGATGACAGAATTTTATTTTTGATCTATCGCTTTAAGAACATTTTGGCTACTTTGTGTGCTCATAGTTTTGCAAAGTTACCAGTTCGCCACTAAAACATCCCCTGAAAACTCTAAAAAGGAGATAACTAGGAAGGTTGAAGATCAACAGGCCCTAAGCAGAAGCTCAACATGCTTTTAATGCCAAATCAACAAAACATTTATTGGCTTTCATCCTTGGTAGCTCATTTTCCACAACATTTGTTCTGGGTGGTGCCCTGGAGCATGCTATTTGGGTTTTAACTTATTATTTAGGAGAATGTGGACCAATGTAGAGCTTGTTATTGCTCAAAATAAGTGCTGGTAGTGATGTTGGATCTAGGTGGAGAGACTCGTATTTCAAGAGATGCCTTGTTTTGAATATCTAGGAGTTTCCATGGCCTCACACAATTAGTAAAGTCCACAATTAGTAAAGGTTGTTATTTAGGAGAATGTGGACCAATGTAGAGCTTGTTATTGCTCAAAATAAGTGCTGGTAGTGATGTTGGATCTAGGTGGAGAGACTCGTATTTCAAGAGATGCCTTGTTTTGAATATCTAGGAGTTTCCATGGCCTCACACAATTAGTAAAGTCCACAATTAGTAAAGGTTCTCAACTAATATCATTTATAGCGCTGAGGAATTATTTCATGAAAGTTTAAAGAGGTCTAGTCCATGGAAAACATGTTAAATGTTAGAAATTCCATGTGTGATTTTGTGATTTTTTTAGTACTTCAGCTTCAACATATTTTACTTTCGGTAGTTTCCAAGGCCAAGGCAGCATTTCTAATTTTTATTTACGTTTCATCTATTTTGTTTACGTTTTTCATCTATTTATATTCTATATATATTATTCCATCAATGCAAACTATTTTTAATTGTTTTAGTTTTAATTGTATTATCAATAGCAACATTGTAATTAGGGGAAAAACTGTCTTGTTAAGGGTTGAAAAATGGTGAGAACTAAAAATATTTAAGAAAAAAAATATGTTTTAGCCTGTTGGATAATATGAAGTTAGCCTGTAGACAAGGGTTTCCTCAAACTGATCCTTCAGGCATCATCAGAGGACAAATGTCTGTCAGACTTTGTGTTGCAAGTGTTACAAGAGGGTTTGTTCATCATTGTGCCGATCTGTCAGACACAGGCACTTGCATCTTATTAAGCTATCACTGACTTCTTTATCAACACTTGAATTTGCATTGTACAATTACACTCACAGCTGCAGCACACAATGAAGTTTATAAAAACTCCAGATGGATCCTCCCCTTCGAGGCAGCGCCGTCTGGATGTCGCTAGCATGCGTGTGCCGAGTGCAACAAATCAAAACTGTTTACGCCAGTTTTGTTTGCTGGACTGACAGCTTTGCACTGAGATCATTTATGAAGACAAATGGACTCCCTGTAAGAGTTTATAAAGGTGATAAAGCCTCAAACAGGAACTTCTGTTCAGCAGAAGTGCTGGTTAATTTAGCAGCTCCTCTTGTAATGCACACCATGAGTGGATGAGGCAGTTGCTAGTGTGTGTGTTTGTTTCTGACTTAGCTATAATGTTAGAGACAAAAAACTCCATTAACAGTTCCTAAGATGTCTGATAAAATGTCTCTTTTCAGTTACTCTGAATTGTTTGGAAGAAAGAGGAGTAATGGGTTTGGAGTATGACCAGGCTAGATTTGAAGATGCAGCTCATGAAGCATGTCTAACCACTTGACTATGACTCCAACCTTTTTGCATTGTAATTTAGCTTTTACATTTTTTGTCTGTTTATTTGACATAGAATCCATACCTGGGGTGGCATATTTTGCCCCCTAATTTTTTCAAGGTGTTTACCAGAATATTGTGAATATATTATGAATGTAGGCAAGTGGCATGGAATAATCTTGGAAGTTATTGTCTGGTGCGATCTAAAAGTATTTTATATTTGTACAAAATGAATGCTTTTTTGAACTCTCCAATATCATATTATATTACATTATATTACATATATTCCTGCACTGAAGTAGCGCAGGCAAAAATGTGACTTAAAATATTGAAAAATGTCAAAGAAATTATGCTTTTTCAAATGTATGCGTTTTCCCTTTCAAATTCATATAAATTTGTAATTTATATTTACATTGTTTATGCTGACTGCTATAATTCATCTATAACTATTTTATACTGAATTTCATTAAATATATCACAATTATTATATTATGTTATATTTCTCACACAGAAGGTCCATTTTAAAATTAGCTAGTGAAGGTAAAAATGTGATTAAAATTTGGTTAAATTTAAGAACAGTTCTTTTGAAATTGTATAAATTTGTAATTGTTAATGCTTACTGCATCCTCTCTCTCTACATCTATATATATATATATATATTAAATAGTAATATATTTATAGTATAGTATGTCTAGTATTATTAGTATAATATAATATTTATATAGTGAATAAATTAGTAATTAGTAAATAAATGCTGTTCTGCGGTGTATTATCAATTAGAGATTTTTGACACCATAAACGAACAGATAAATCAACATGTGTATTTTTTTTTAAAAATTAAAAATCCAATTACAGCCTTAGTGCTTATTGCTGTGGTCTCAGGCGGCTTTCAAAGTGCTTCCATTTCCTCTTAAGCAGCAATTAAGACAAATTTCACACCTTTAAAAGGTTTGACAGTGTCTCCGAGTGTGTGAGGTACTCCACACTGACAGTTATTTGGGCATTTTCTGTAGCACAGACTTAATAGTCACAGATTTAAGCTCAGTGCTGCACTCTCATGACGTTCTGCAATTATACCACGTAATGTGGAAGTCAACCTCTTCTGTGACCTCCACCGCTGTGCAGCAGAGAAATGTAGGTGCATTAAAAGATCTGTGGAGCATGTGAAGGGGGCCCGGCTCATTTAGCAGCCATTAATGATCAATGGACCCAGGATTTTTGTATTTTTATATTTAGATGTGTGCAACAGCAGAAACCAATTGTGTCTTGTTTTTATCAGATTTGTGTCAAAAGGTGTCGGCAAAAAAACTGCACAAAACAGTATGATCACTAGTGTGTGTTTTTTGGGGGGGGGTTTTGTCCACAGGCAAGAGTGTAAGAAACTGCGTGAGGAGCTGCGTGAAGAGCATGAGGAGAATAAAAGGTCAGCACTCACTCAGCTGGCACAGAATAAAGATCAGGAGATGTGCTCCGCCAGAGAGAGCTGGCAGAGGAAGGTGGAGGACCTTCTGGAGCAGGTCAGAAACACATTCATGCAACTACTGTACTAACACTGCATGTTGAGACCACTGCAGTCAGCCTATGAGGGTCCAGTGGGGCTGTTCAAGAAATGTATAAATCAACTGAGAAATTGATAAATGAATTGAGCAACTAGTTATTTAATGTGAATAAATAAATCTCTACAAAAAGGTCAAGATAAAGTCAAAAATAATTTTCAGTTTAGAACTAATGACAGAATTGAATTTGTATGTTTAAAGAGTGATTATGGAGTGCTTAATAATTGCATTTTCAGTTTTAGTACTTTTTTATTTCCTATAGCTTTTTTTATTCATTGAAACCAGAGGCAACACTCTACTGCCAATATGAATGAACATATTTATCAATATTTTGATTACATTTTGTTTTATTTTCAAGAAATGTATAAATCAACTGAGAAATTGATAAATGAATTGAGCAACTAGTTATTTAATGTGAATAAATAAATCTCTACAAAAAGGTCAAGATAAAGTCAAAAATAATTTTCAGTTTAGAACTAATGACAGAATTGAATTTGTATGTTTAAAGAGTGATTATGGAGTGCTTAATAATTGCATTTTCAGTTTTAGTACTTTTTTATTTCCTATAGCTTTTTTTATTCATTGAAACCAGAGGCAACACTCTACTGCCAATATGAAACATATTTATCAATATTTTGATTACATTTTGTTTTATTATTTAATTATGTTTCATTTGTTAATTTATCGTCATGATTAAATTATGTCATTGTTCATTCATTTTATATGTGCATCCACATTTAGGCATTTCCTTGTTGATTTTTCTCAAATGGTTTATGATTATTGCAGATTGAGTATTGCATACTTCTACAAAGTACAGAAAATAAATACACTACCATTCAATAGTTTGAGTTTAGTAAGATTTTATTTTATCTGAAATTATTACTTTATTCAGCAAGGACACATTAAATTGATCAAAAGTGACAATGCTGTTATTTTAAACTTCAATTCATCAAAGAATCCTGAAAAGAATAATCATTGGGTTTCACAAAAATATAAGGCAGCACAACTGTTTTCAATATTGATAATAATAAGATATTATTTTCACCACATCGGACACCCAATAGCATATTAGAATGATTTGTGAAGGATTTTGTGACACTGGAGACTGGAGTAATGACTGCTGAAATTCAGCTTTGCATCACATAAATAAATGGCAAAATTAAATTTTTTAATATTTTAAAATAGAAAAGAGTTATTTCAAATTGTAATATTATTTCACAAAATTACTGTAAATATTACTGTTTTTAAACATGTATTTTCAATCAAATAAATGCAGCCTTAGTGAACACAAGAGACGTCAAAAACATTACAAAAATCTTACCAACCCCAAACTTTTGAACAGTTGTGTACTTCTAAGCAAGCCTCCATTTGGTTGAGTGTCCTGTCCTGGCCAACACAGCAACACTGGCTTAACCAATGATTTAAATCTGTGGCGGTGCTATGTGTTTATGTGACCAATGGCAGATGGAGGGAGGGTTCAGAAAACCTCACATTGTTTTTTGCATTTCTGTTTGTTGAAGCATGTGGCAGAGAAATTGCACAGTTAACCGTAGCAAAAGATTACATGTAACCTCACAGTAAGCCAGACAAACAAGTCAATATAGGGAATACATGCTTTAATAAACTGCAAACCCCAAAGACACTTTTCAAAAGGATAAAAGCATCAGTGAAATACAACAGTAGTTGAAAATCCATCGCTTATCCACACTTTAACATTACCAGATATTGCAGATGTATCCTTGGAATACCCCTCTGTGCATTTTTCATAAGCTTGAACACTCATATCTGCTGACTTAGTTACTATTGCATTTATAATATAACCACACACAGTTTTTTTGTAATCAAATCAGCCCCCAAAAACAATACAAAACCATATGCAGCTTTTGAAGAGAGATAACTATTTACAGCAGTGTATGATTTGATTTATTCTAAATAAAAGTATGACCCTGAAACCAAAAATTATGTAAGAAAGTCATTTTACAGAACTTGTTTACTGCTTGTTCGTTCAAGAAGCTCTCTGTTATTTTGGATGGAGGTAGAGGATTGGGTTTTGTACACAAAGCCATGATAATGCCATGGTGAGAGAATTGTGCAAGTTAGTATTCAAAATGATCAGCGCATTATCTCATATGATTTCAGGTTTGTGGTGGCTATACAATAATCAAGGACACATTGTAACTTACAATTCAGTTGATTTGCTTTTAAACTGCGGTTCATGTGATATACTCACCAATCAGATATTCTCTAGTTGCCTGTATTGATAATTTTCAGCTTTAATCACAAGATTATGACAAAGGCCAGCAGTTCAGCCTTGCTACAATAGTCATTAGCTCCATTCAGTGACCTCCTGCTGTCTGGACTTTGTTTTATAGCTAATTATTTTTCCATGGTCTACTTGTCCTCGTCTAGAGTACGGAAACAGAATATTACAGATGGGGAAAAAAAGCAAACAGGCTGAAAAATGACTTTCAGATTCTGTTTGAGACCTTGTGCAAGTCCCTATTCAAAATCCACTTAAAACCGCAAGGGACCTCAGGCAAGCGTCGCTAACACTTTTTCTCATGATAGAGCATAACTCTTCCAGAACCGTTTAAGCTATGCATGTTATTGATGCCTCAAATCTTAAGGTGCATTGAGAAGAGGTGTGCTACTACATTTCTAAGCATTCGATCTTGTGGAGTTTTGCATCGCTTTTAAGGAGGGACCCGGACAACATCTAGAGATTAGAGTAACAGAGACTCGATAATGGGCTCTTTTGAACTGAGCCAGTAACAGAACACCCTAGCAACCAGATAGCAACACCACGACAACTTCTTAGCAATATAGTGGCAAGTTTTATATAGACAAGCACCATTTCTATTGAAATTTAGTGATTCATGTTAGTCCATGTCTTTTATTATGACACATAACATTTATAATTATTAGTTTTAAAATTATTATTTTTAAATTGTGTTATTTTTATTTCATTTTAATTTTAATCTATATTTATTTTTTTTATAATTAGATTTATATTTGTATTACTGATTACATTTTTTAAAAAAAATTTAATATATATTTATTTTAATCTGTCACTGCTGATCACTTTTGGGAAAATGTAACAAGTTACAATATTGTGTTTTTCAATAATTTATATGGAAATTAACTTGCATTTACATAACTGGTTCTCTTCTCCAGAGTGGGAGTGTGATACTTGGCTTGCTGGCAATTATTATATTAGAAATGCTATTTTTTGCTGTGAACACAGGATTTGGGCTAGTTTGCATGCTTTTTATTCAAGATCACAGGAGACATTGTTTCACACACCTCATGTGTGTGTGGCTTTCATGCCCCCAAATGTTACCAAAAAATTCATTTTTTTTTTTGTGGTTTTAGGCAATAGTTTTATGGCATTCGTACCTGTGGGGTCAAGGCTGGAAAAACTGTTACTTTGAGTCTCAAATTCAGTTATTTTTTTCCACTTTGCCATTTTTTAATTTTCAGCTTCAATACATAATTTGTCTCCTTTCATCATCATGAACTTTGTTGTTTTATTTACTTGTATATGTGTGTTGAGTGTTTGGCAGGCAACCGAGACCTCTTTCTTTCTCAGAGCTCTAAATGTGTCAGCAGCAGTGGCAAGATCTGTAGAGCTTATTGGAGAAGCGATTACAGCCACTGCAGAAACGTCTTGAGCCTCACCCATCAGCACTCTCTAGTGCACTAGATGCATCAGAGTGCATCACGTTATTTTGTGGTGGCTGCTGAGAAAAATCAGTTACACACAATTATATGTGGTGTTATCCTTCTGGTTCCAGACAACATTTTGGCACACCCAAATTTTTTCTGCAGATATGAATGATGCTTGAAATTGTGTAGCTTACTGAAGTGAAGTATGTTAATATTTTTCAAAAATCTTTATCTTAAAGACAATGAAATGGAAGTAGCAACAAATCTTTCCTTGTGTATTGTGAATTACATCCAAGTCAAAACAGGGAAAGATTATTATAGGCCGGGTGGAGTTTAGGCAAATTCTAAAACAAATATACTCAAAAAAAAAAAGTGAAATTTTTAATAAAACAACGATTATTGGAGTATGTTTTGCAAGAAAATACTATTTCAGTCTTTCTACTTCAAACTTTCACATTTTATTCCATGTGTAACTTGCCTTTTCTTTTTGTAATAGTGGAACTTGCTAGCAGTTTCTGAGTGAAAATTGTTTCTACAGCAGTTTTTTTTTCAGTGTAGTTTTAGTTCAGTTTCTGTATTTAGCAGATCTACATACGAGGTTTTGGCACCCCCCTCCATTTTTCCCCTGGTTTGGGGGAAAAAAAAGTATTGCAAACGGGTCAGAAGGATCTTATCTTTGGACCAGACATTCTAAAAGATCTTTTCATTGGCAGCAATGTAGAAATGCCCCGTGTTGGGGCCCCTGGGGACTGAACATGATTCAGTCATGATTTTTTTGACAAGTAAAGTTATGGCTTCAAGTTTTGCCATACCAAGCTCTTTTCACGATTTCCTCAAATGTAAAAATCTAGTTTTAACATGATGACTAGCGTTCATCTTTTTATTAGCATCAGCAGCGCACCGGCTGGGATATGAGCAGTGATATCCTGGGCATATTGAAACCACTTCCAGTCGGCTTGAAAATGAAATTATTCGCTGATGCGATGACAAGCGCAGCATCGGTTTATTGCCTTCACAAGTCTCGGATTGTTGGCGGGTATGACATGGAAAAACTCTCTCCCTGTCACCCTCCAGTCATAAGCGACTCCTCTAATGAGGCAAGCAGGCCAAAGAGTGGGCCGAAGCCACTGAAACCTCCAGTTCTATCAAATCAACTGGTGTGAGGAAAACGTATCTGGCGCCGATGTCTGACTTATCACCTCGTCCCAGACTAAGTCCTCATTGAGTCCTTGTAGACATGGCTGCTAGACACAGATCCACACCCACATACTCAACTCACAGCTCTATTCACAGAGGAAGACTAGAGCCAGTGTGTGTTTGCACACACAAGCCTGCTAACAGTTTGTGGAAATAGAAATGCTGTGACCATGAAAATGAATGAAGATTTTCAATCACTGCTACTTTTATGATCTCTTGTTTTAGTCTCTATAAGGAGCATGTTTTACACAGTTTAGCTAATTAGTGGTGCTTGCTAAGGGAAGCATCACTATTACTGTTGTTCTTACTTACAGGAATATTCGGGGTACAGTACATGCTAAGCTTAATTGACCGCATTTGTGGCATAATGTTGATTGTTGACAAAAATAATTAAGAATCATTCCTCATTTTCTTATAAAAAGAAAGATTATGTATAAATGTGAAGCTTACAATTTTATAAAACACTTTATTCATAATAATTTCTGTTAAAACGTATTATTTGAGCTGTACATCTGTTTAAATAATGTTTACTGTATTTTAGGGAGTTTTGCTTTTTAGGGTTTATTGCTTATGGCAGTTGGTGGTCATAAATTTTATTTTAGTGTTATTTATATACTGTTACAGTTTTAATAATATTTAGAATTAGCTTGAGTTTTTATATTTTCAGGGGGTTTTTTCCCTCCAGTTAGTATTTTTAGTGCTTTGACTTAAACTTACTTAGTTGCCAAGGCAACAATTCTGATTTTTGTTTAGTTTTTCATTGAATATTTAAATATTAATATATAACATTACACTTAGGCTTTATTTCAATAACAATTTTTCTTTCTTTTTTTGTTTTGTTTTAGTTAACTGTAATAACCCCATTCACCCCATTTGACCCCATTCACTTATGTACCTTTTAAGTACTTCACTGTAACCTTTTTTTTTTCTTTTTTAAGAAAATGAGGGACAAGTGGAAATGAATTTTTGTGGTAATCAACATCATTCCACAAATGCTGTCCATTGAGCATGAAACTCATAATAAGGTTCGATTAAGGTTAATGGTTCACAAGTATTGGTGTTTTTACTTGTACTTTTTTTTTTTCATATGCTTTCTTTTACCTGCAAAGTTGTTTTATTTTTCAACCGGCGTCTCCTGCTTCCTATGTTTAGATTTCCTTGCTGAAACAGAGCCTGGAGATGCAGCTTTCCCAATCCCAGCATTCCCTGCAGCAGCTGCAGGCACAGTTCAGTCAGGAGCGAGAGCACCTGGGACAGCAGCTGCAGGAAATGGAGCTGGAGCATCAGCGCAGGGAGCAGCGGCTGCAGGAAGCCCACTACTGCTCTATGCAGGACATGCAGGAAGCCCGCCAGCACGACCTCAAGGTAACCACAACAAAACAATCTCCCACCTGTCTTCATGCAGAGAGAGACCGCTCTGACCTATATGCATGCTCTTATCTTTTCCTTTCACCGCTTGACTCTCTGTTATTTGAGGTTTTATGACTCTGTGTTCCACATCCACTCTTATCTCAGCTTCAGACAACCCTCCTACAGACCATTCAGAGACTGTCTGAGCTGTGCTGTTTATAACACAATTTTTTTTGTTTCTGTAACAGTTTTAGTTTATATTTTAAAATGTCAAATTGTTTTAGTCAACAAAGATAACATTACATTGTGGTCAGTGTATTGTATTATGAGTAATATTTCAATGTTAATAATTAATATTATTAGGGTGTTGCATTATTAATATGTGTGACCCTGGACCACAAAGCCAGTCATAAGGGTACATTTTTCGAAATTGATATTTATACATCATCTAAAAGCTGAATAAATAAGCTTTCCATTGATGTATGGGTGTGTTAGGATAGAACAATATTTGGTCGAGATACAACTATTTGAAAATCTGGAATCTGAGGGTGCAAAAAAATCTAAATATTGAGAAAATCTCCTTTAAAGTTGTCAAAATGAAGTTCTTAGCAATGCATATCTTCATGGAACATGATCTTTACTTGATATCCTAATGTTCCCATTCAGTCAGTCACGTTCAACGTTACGTCAGTGACTGACGAATTGGGATCTCGCCCGAGAGCCCAATCACCTTCGAGTGTTAACTAAACAAGCCAATGACAGTTGGCGTGCGTGTTTCGCCACGCGCACCCCGCCCCGCAGCGCGGGTATAAAAGGAGAGCGCGTGCAAACGCACATCAGCTTTTCGCTTCGGAGCCGAGCCTTCTACAGGACGAATCTCCGCGAGTGTTCGAGAAACAGCTGGCGTTGGTGTGACGGCGTATCAGCGGGGGTTGCCATCCAGGCTGCTGAAACCTCGGCGGGCTGCAGCTTTCATTCTGCGGTCTCGCCGCGACCTCCCCTGGGCGCTTCAGCGCTCTCTCTAAAAGAGTGTTTCCAAAAATTCTAAAAGAGCTATTTCTAAAAGAGCTTCACGAGCGACGGGCGTCTTTTTAAAGATGGCTTCCCGCTCGTGCGTTTCTGGATGCGGTCGTTTCCTGCCTTCATCTGACGGTCATGATCACTGCCTCTCGTGCTTGGGCTTACAGCACGCTGAAGCAGCGCTCATGGATGAGTCATGTTCTCACTGCGGGAACATGACCATCGCGACATTGCGGTCCAGATACCTCCTCATTAAACGGGGGGGTATCCCCCTTGCCATGCCCCGCTCTAGCTCCTCTGGTTCTCGGAGGGCTACTTCGGTTCATGGTCAGGGAGACCTGAGGGTGACGGTGAGAGCTTCCCCGTCGAGTACGTCTCCGCGGGCCTCTCATTCCTCGAGCATGTCGCACCACCTGGTGCTTCCGGACGAGCGTGCTGGGTCCTCGGACAGGGCGGGGTCTAGCATCTTGTGCGGGGCACAGGCAGAGGACAGGATGTCGGTCGCTGCATCGTCGAGATACAACTATTTGAAAATCTGGAATCTGAGGGTGCAAAAAAATCTAAATATTGAGAAAATCTCCTTTAAAGTTGTCAAAATGAAGTTCTTAGCAATGCATATCTTCATGGAACATGATCTTTACTTGATATCCTAATGTTCCCATTCAGTCAGTCACGTTCAACGTTACGTCAGTGAGTCCAGGTGTGAAAAACTTGTTGCATCTTTCCCAAAAAGACTCATGGCTGTATTCGATCAAAAGGGTGCTTCTACTAAATACTGAGCAAAGGGTCTGAATACTTAGGACCATGTGATATTTCAGTTTTTCTTTTTTAATAAATCTGCAAAAATGTCAACAATTCTGTGTTTTTCTGTCAATATGGTGTGCTGTGTGTACATTAATGAGGAAAAAAAATTAACTTAAATGATTTTAGCAAATGGCTGCAATATAACAAAGACTGAAAAATTTAAGGGGGTCTGAATACTTTCCGTACCCACTGTATATATATATATATATATATATATATTATGTAAAGACAGTAGGATTATTGACAATAGGATTATTCAGCTACAAAGTTTATTTTCTCTGACCCTGTTTACAACTTGGTTTATTAAAATCTGTTTATATCGGTCCGATCACAAGGTTCTTTGAAATGAATCGCTTGTGTTACTTACATCAGCAAGGGTTAGATTATTTTGTTACAGTTTTATTTGTATCTGCTGCTTGGTGACGATCCATTTTCAGTCTTTGTGGATTGTGGATGAGACTTTATAGTGATTGTCAACCGTCTGACTACATGAGACCACATCCACTCCAACTTCTATTTGCTGCTCAAGCTCTTTTTCTTGTACAGAGCCAGCCAAGCAATTGCTGACCGGAATCCTTTCAGCCTATTTGTCCACTGGTGAAATTGTCCGTTAGCCCTGTTTGCCCTCCCGCAAGACCCTCTTTCAGTCCCCCAATAGATTTGATAGAGGTGAGGCAGATCTGCCACAGATCCAGCCCGGCCCACAGCACGTCTCTCAGGTCCTTCTCTTCCCCCTGTCCTGGAATAACCTGCTCACTCTCGGCTCTCCTGTCTGTGGGTTAGTAATGGCTGAGCGCTCGCTGTCACAGGCTGTATTGTCTGTTTTATCCAGTACCTGGCCCCTGACGACTTCAGGGGAGAGAAACTCTCACTCTGACTGGAAATGGTTACCTTGAGCTGGGCTGAAGTGGCTCCACACCGCAGGCCCGGGGATGGAGGCTGCGAGCGGGAGTAGACCGCTTGAATAACTGCTGATAAGTTGAGATTGACTCACCAAATGCAGCGTCAGTCAGAATCACAGGCTTCACTTCACTGTTTTAAAAAATAGTGGAAGCAGTTGGACTGCACAGGCTTGTAGTGATGTCACAAAAGGGCAAAGGCTTAGATTATGAATATTAATTAGGTCATGGACACATAATTTAATATGACTTCTTACAGCTTTCCAATATAATTATTCATGAGTTTTCAGCCTTTACAATCTCATATACATTCTCATATATATATATATATATATATATATATATATATATATGAAAAACATAAACAAGACTAAAAAGTCTTAAGTTGAAGCATTAAAATGACTAATTGGAAATAAATAAAGCAACTAAAACTGAATTAAACTAAAACTGAAACAAAAATAAAATTAATCAAAATATTAATATTTATTTCATTAGTTTTTAATTAAAAAACAAATTAATTGACAAAAGCACATAACAAAATGACTATGAATAATTACCATTTAATTGGTGCATATTGGATATGAAATATCAGACACAGTAGTAATTTGCATGTTGATGAGTTTCCCGGCAACACAGACAGATTTAAGATAGAATTAAGAGCAAGTGTGCAGTAATTGTGGTAAATATGAGTTTTACCCAGTTGCATACCATTAAAAGAAACCCTTTTCATGTCCTTGCTTCATTCATGTAATGAGTAGAGATCCAACAGAAGGCTTATGAAATCTCATTTAATAGCTTTATCAAAATATTAATATTTATTTCATTAGTTTTTAATTAAAAAACAAATTAATTGACAAAAGCACATAACAAAATGACTAAGGATTAAACACAAATTTAAAAGAAAACTGAAAATATATAAAAATAAATCTAACTCAAAATATGAATAAAAACTATAATAGTATATGAATAATACTAAAATAACACTGATGACAACCAAATGCCTTAATCTTTTTTTATTTTTTTGAAGGATAAGTCTCATTCAAGACATTTCAGAGAGAGAGAGTGAGAGTAAATAAATACAATATTAAATATAAATCATAAAATATAACATATAGTATAATATTAAATAAATTAAAAATTATAATAATAGTATTAAATAAATGATTTACATATAAAAATTGTATTAGAGAAATCTATGTATTTATTTTTTATTTGTTTAAAAAGAAAATATATATTGTTATACTATAATATTACAAAATCTCCCCAGTGTCCATAACTGACGGATATGGTCAGAACGTCTGTGCATTTATTTGCTGAATTTGGCTGGTTGAAATTGTCGCTATGCCAGTGGCTCGATTTACTGTTTATTTCAGCAAACTGCTGTGTAATGGATTTCATTGCTCCATGTCACAGCTGGTTTCTGAACACATTACGTGTGATAACACCAACTGACCTCTATTACTGATATACCCCACTGTCCAGGACAGGGCCACACCAGGCAGTAAGAACCTCAGCCACTAGCTGTCAATGGATGGAGAATGGAGGGAATTAGTTTATCTGCCAGTGATGCCATTAGGAAATATACACACAGAGGTGAACTGTTTTTGTTAACCCAGTGTGCCGCAGAGACCTGCTATTTTGCACTCTAATCTGATATCAAACTACTAACGAAAACCCTCCTAACCTAACGTTCAATCAAACAGCCTAACCTAACGTTTCAGTTATTCACATTGGCACTTTGTGTTTTTTGATTGATTTGTATCTTTTGCTATTTACTAATTTGTGTTTAAGCTGATTTTTACCAGCACACTTGCATGAACCGCTTTGAGAAACCTGATGTTAGTTGTGAAAGTTGGTGGTGCTTGACCGCTTGTGATGCTTGTGATGCTATTTAGGGATTTAGAATTCCATAAATAATGAATACTTGATTTCCCCACTTTAATTATGAACAGATTATTTCCAAAATTATATTCCAAAATTAAATCACTAAATAAATAATTAAAGAAACTATTAACTATACAATTAAACAGTTAATGAAACCATAAAAAGCATTATATTATTAATTTTTAAATCACCTAACTAATTTATTCAATTAATTATTATTAAATCGCCTAACAAATTAATAAATTGTATTTCATTTTAGCATTAGCTTATCATTACAAAATAAATAAAAATGTACAAAGTAATGCTAAAATGAAATGAACATTAATTTGTTTGTATTTCATTTTAGCATTATATCCATATTTAGTCATCATGAAAAAATGAAGTACAACAGGCATTTATGAGTTTTTT